GAGATCGCTCATGCTGTAGCCCTTGGCCCAGTCAGAACGGGACCAGAGGTCAAGAATGTGCTCTACTCTGCAGCCGGGAACCATGGGTTGTCCTGGAGCCTTTGGCAGAAAGTGCCTGGGGAGACTCGAGGCCAACCACTGGGATTCTGGAGCCGAAGTTACAGAGGGTCTGAAGCCAACTACACTCCCACAGAGAAGAAAATCTTGGCTGCCTTTGAAGGAGTTCAAGCCGCCTCGGAGGTAATTGGCACAGAAACACAACTCCTCCTGGCACCCCGACTACCGGTGCTGGGGTAGATGTGTAAAGGAAAGGTTCCCTCTACCCACCATGCCACTGACGCCACATGGAGCAAATGGATTGCCCTCATCACTCAGCGTGCCTGTATTGGAAACCTGAATCGCCCTGGGATTTTGGAGATAATTACGAACTGGCCAGAAGGTGAAAACTTTGGTCTCACTGATGATGAGGAGCAGGTACAAGTGACAAGGTCTGAAGAAGCTCCACCATACAACCAACTACCAGCAGAAGAGACCTGCTACGCTCTTTTCACTGACGGTTCCTGTCACATTGTAGGGATGAACCGGAAGTAGAAAGCAGCCGTATGGAGCCCCACACGCCAAGTTGCACAAGCTACCGAAGGAGAAAGTAGATCAAGCCAACTCACTGAGCTCAAGGCCGTTCAGCTGGCTCTAGACATTGCTGAAAGGGAGAAGTGGCCAAAGTTCTACCTTTATACTGATTCATGGATAGTAGCCAATGTTCTGTGGGGCTGGCTGGGAAGGTGGAGGAAGGCCAACTGGCAACGTAGAAAAAAGCCAATCTAGGCTGCTGATATATGGAAAGACATTGCCTCTTGGGTGGAAAAGCTAACAGTGAAAGTCCACCATGTAGATGCCCATGTCCCCAAAAGTCGGGCTAATGAGGATCACCAAAACAACGAGCAGGTAGATCAGGCAGCAAAAATAGAGGTGTCAAAGATAGACTTAAATTGGCACCATAAGAGGGAGTTATTCCTGGCTCGATGGGCTCATGATGCCTCAGGTCATCAGGGCAGAGATGCCACCTACAAGTGGGCACGAGACCGAGGGGTGGATCTAACCATGGACAGTGTTTCCCAGGTTATCCATGACTGTGAGACGTGTGCTGCCATCAAACAGGCCAAGAGAGTGAAGCCCCTATGGTATGGTGGGCGGTGGTCCAAGTACAAGTATGGAGAGGCCTGGCAGATTGACTATATCACACTGCCCCAGACACGCCAAGGCAAGCGCTACGTGCTGACCATGGTAGAAGCCACCACTGGATGGCTGGAGACTTTCCCTGTACCTCATGCCACTGCCCGGAACACCATCTTAGGCTTAGAAAAGCAAGTCCTGTAGAGACACGGCACACCTGAGAGAATTGAGTCTGACAACGGCACCCATTTCAAAAACAGCCTTATCAACACCTGGGCCAGAGAACATGGTATCGAATGGATATATCATATTCCCTATCATGCTCCAGCTGCCGGCAAAGTTGAACAGTGCAACGGACTCCTTAAGACTACCCTAAAGGCACTTGGTGGGGGAACATTTAGAAACTGGGAAATTAACCTGGCAAAAGCAACCTGGATGGTCAACAACCGAGGGTCTGTCAATCGAGCTGGCCCTGCCCAGTCAGAACCCTTACACACAGTAGATGGAGATAAGGTCCCTGTAGTACATATGAAAGGTATTTTAGGGAAAACTGTTTGGATTAATCCCACCTCAGGCAAAGACCAACCCATTTGTGGGATTGTCTTTGCTCAAGGACCTGGTTACACTTGGTGGGTACTGCAGAAAGATGGGGAGACCCGCTGTGTACCACAGGGAAACTTAGTCTTAAGTGAAAACTGGGTGTAAGATTTCATGGTGTGCAGATGGAAATAGAATAAGGGGTGGATAATGTCCTGGTTTGTAAGATAAGCTTGTATTCTATTTGCCATCTGTTGGAGGTTGGGCAGGTTTGTTATCTCTCCCAAGAACAATGGTTTGCTCCAAAGAGGTAATGGTTTGTTAATGGGCCATTGACTGATTCAATGCAGGGCTCTTAATGTAACACCATCCCATTGTGAGGGGTCCCACCCAGAGGGGGAAGCCAAGCACTCTTTTATTGGATAAAAGGGGTACCTTTTGGGGGACAGAGCAGCTCTCTCTTTGTGGGATTTCCCAGAGAAGCAGCTCCTTCGGCAGGACTCCTGAGAGAAGCAGCCGGAGCGTGGTGAGGCGGCGGCAGCGGAGCTCAGAGGCAACCCCGGCGCAGAGGAAGACCGGCCCCACTGCCACCAGATCTTCAGAGAAAACTATACCCTTCTAAAGATCACCACTTCAGCTGCAATTCATCAGCCACTGCAAGAGGAGCAGCTATCATTTCAACCGGACTGCTACCAACACCCCGAATCCTCAGGTTGTGGACTTTATCACTAGTTTTTGTTTGTACTGATTGCATTTGCCTTTTTAAATTGTTATCTATTTTTCTCCTAGTAAAGAATTGTTACTCCCATTCCCATATCTTTGCCTGAGAGCCTTTTAATTTAAAAATCCTGGTAATTCGGAGGGAGGGGGTTTACCTTCTCCATTGCACAGGAGGCTTTTGCCCTCCTTCACAGACCCCTGTCTTGTCAAACCAAGACAACCCTAAAGGCCAACCTAAGGCCCTACCCCAGCAATATCCCAGGGACCACCCCTGAGTCCACCCCAGGAACCACCCTGGGTGTCACCCCATGATCCCCCCACCCCCTGGCAGCTCCCTGACCGTGGCATGATCGAAGTGTGGCTCATAGTGGCCTCCCAAGCCATAGTTGACCACCTGCAGGTACTCAGCATAGGCTGGCCACAGGTCCAGGCCAGTGACAGCAGTGATGCACTGATCCAACACACACACAACAGGGTCGACCGTGTCCTTCAGCCAGGTGCTGTGGGACCACCACTCGTCACCTACCTGAATTCATCTGTGGCTGGGCTTCACCCTCGGGGCACTGCTGCAGGGGCTAGGCCTCCCCAGCATGGCTTCACTGCCACCTCACAGGTGACCATGGAGCCACAGGCCAGGTGCCACTGGCTGGAGGACGAGGGAGGGGTGGTTACTACTTCTTGCTTATCCGGTACTCAGCTTTCTGCTGCTTCTCCCCAGAGGCAACCACGGATCTCTGCAGCTGAAGGATACATGGGGGGTGCATGTTGCCACACATGGGGACCCTCACACTGAGCAGGGGCCATGGTCAGGGTGGCAGTTGGTGGGTTTGAACCAGCTGGTTTACTAAACGGTCCCACCCCAAGGTGTCTCTCTGGGGTGAGGGAAGCAGTGACGGCAGGTGGAGTCACTGAGTCAAGCCTGGTTGGGAAGTGGTTTAGGTGCATCTGTGGACCTGGTTTCTTCTGAAAAGTCTTTCGAGGGGTTCACATGGAATGGGGGTCATTATCCTCAGGGTCTCATTTAATCCTAGAGTGCTTTGGGTTGGAAGGGGCCTTCCAAGATCATCCAGTTCCACCCCCTGCCATAGGCAGGGACACCTTCCACTAGACAAGGTTGCTCCAAGCCCCATCCCATCTGAACTCCAGCTTTGGTCCTAATATCCCTCCTATCTCTGCATTCACCCTGGATCATGATCACCTGGGACACCCTGCTGCAGGAAAGGGACATCCCTGGGGACAGGGATGGCTCACCTAGGGCCCTGCCAAGCCTTTGATGGTCTCAGCCCCAGCATCGGTAATGAAATCATGGTACAGAGCCACATGGGGCTGGATCCGGACCATCTCCTTCTTGGCAGGCTGGAGGAGGAGGAAGGGGCTGCTGTTGGTCTCGCAGGAGCAGCTGAGGTGCAGGAGCTGCTCTGGGGCTGGCTGAGGAGGAAGAGGAGGAAGGAGGGAGTGAAGCGGGGACAGCGGTAGTGGGGGACCATGGCACCCCTGCCAGTCTCACCTGCGCACTGGGGCGCTGGTACAGCTCCTTGCAGGCATCACGGGTCTGCAGGTGGGTGTGTTGGGGCACTGCAGGGGCCTGGCACTTGCCCCCGTCCCCATCTCCAGCAGCTTCTTGTACTTGGCCATGTTCCTCGACACCCTTTGGTTACTGAGATCTGCTGGGGAGGTGGTGTCACCCAGAATACTGCATCCCCATCTACCCCCTTCCCTGGCATCGGTCCCTGGACAATTATCCCAGATGGGGGCAAGAAATGGGGTGAGGGAGGTTGTTGCCATGCAGAGATGATGGGGACATCCCAAGATCTTTTCTGTCTTCCTGCTGCATCCAGGGTTTTCCCACATACCATAGTGGAGAAACTCCCTGGAGAGGCTCAAAGCGTGAGAGATGTTTCCAGCCTGGATAGGGGAGTGGAGACCCCATAAGCATCCATCCTCCCACCCATGGTTTGGCTCTACTGGACACTGGGGATGGGGAGGTGACTCGTGGCTGTACCATTAAGTAGAAGGCCAGATGGTCCAGAGCATCCTCCAGGCTGCTCCGGTCCTCCAGGTTCCCGCTGCCATAGGAGAGGTGGAAAAGGCTGACAGCCTCCTCCAGCCATGCAATGGAGTGGTAATAGTCACCTGTGTCATAGGCCACCTGCGGGGCAACACGTCACCTGCACCTGCCAGCTGGGCCATCCCATCCCAGCCCATCCCACTGCAATTCCCACCCATACCATTGCATCTATCGCTTTCCTATTGCCATCTCCATTCCCGTTCTCTCCCACATCACCCCCATCCTGTCCCATCCCTTCCTTTCCAGTTCCTTCCCCACCTCAATCTCCATCCCCGTTTGCACCTGCACTTTCATCTCATGTAAAGAAACCCCCATGTCCATCCCTATGGAAGCAACGCCCCAGGCTGGAGAAGCTTTGTGGAGGCTTATGGGGTTCTCCCTCACCTTTCCCAGTCGTTGGCAGAGAGGGAGGCACGCCAGTCAGGGCTGTAGAGGGGTGGGTGCCCGGCTCTCTGGAAGATGCCATTGGCCAAGCCCTTGACTCTCGGTGCGTAGATGTCCTGCAGCCACATCAGCACCCTGGCTGCCCCGTCCAGGTCCTCAGCTCCAGGCAGCTCCTGCTTCACCTCCCTGAGGCCAGCATGGAGTGCTGCAGGGTGGGAAAGAGGTGAAATTAATGAAATTATGAGGTGCAATTGCCCTTATCAGCTCATTTCCCTGGGGATCCCACATCCTGCTCCTCCATCCATTCCATTCCTCCAACAATTTTCTTGCTTCTCCATCAGTTCCCCAGCCCCTCCATCTATTTCCTGGCCTGGGTGACAGAGGGGACACAAAGCTAAGCATCTTTCCTGTACCCTGGGTGTTCCTGGTGGCCTTGTCATTGTAGATGTTGTTGGGCCAGTCAGAGTGGAGGCGCTTGATGAGGCTGAAGGCCAGCAAGGGGTTGTCCACTGAGGCCTCAGGGTCCTGGTGCAGTGCCTGGACCTTCTCATAGAACCTACAGGGCACCCACAGGAGGACACTTTGATGCTCCTCAGTGTTGACACTGCCCGGGTGAGGGCTGAGTGCCCCCATTGTTGGGCAGCTTTGCCTCAGCCAGAGCTGAGGGATTGTCCGGCCCAGCCCTGGTGGGACTGTGGGGATGGCCCATGCCTTGGGGATGCTGCCACCCAGATCCCTGTGGGTGGGGGGCCATGTCCCCCTCCTGGGACATAGCTGGGGGAAGGGGGGGCCTGAGCCATGTCCAGTCTCAGCTTGCCGTCCTTCCACACCCTCTTATTTAGGGCCACCCCCAAAAATTGGGTGCTGCAGGGAAGGTGGGGATGGGTTAACCCCTCCTTGTAGCCAGGAAACCAGACACACCTGGAGCTGGGTGCGGGATGGGTGGCTGGAGGGGAGAGAATGCTGCGGGTGCCCCACCCGTGGCCTTGGCGCGGTTGGGGGGTCCCGGTACCTGCGGACGAGGCGCAGGCGGGAGCTCTTGGCCCTCAGGTAGGAGCGGAGCCGGTGGAGCAGGCGGCGCTCGGCGCCCAGCGCTCCCCGCACGCTCAGCATCGCAGGGAACGTCTCGGAAGGGGCGGGGGGCGGCAGCAGCGCCAGCAGCGCCCCCAGCACCCCCAATGCTCCCAGTATCCCCAGTACCTCTAGCGCCAGCACCCCCAGTATCCTCAGTGGCCCCGGTGCTCCAAAGTATCCGAAACACCTCCAGTACACCCTGTACCTCCGGTCCCAGCATCAGCCCCAGCACCCCCAGTATCCTCAGTGGCCCCGGTGCTCCAAAGTATCCGAAACACCTCCAGTACACCCTGTACCTCCGGTCCCAGCACCCAACTACCTCCAGTACACCCTGTACCTCCGCCCCCCGAGCACCCAGTAGCCCCAGCAGTGCCCCAGCACTCCCGGTGTCAGCCGTGCCCCGAGGCGCAGCGCCCCCAACCGGCTGCCAGGGCCGCCGCCGCCGCAAGAAAAGGGGCGGCGGACAGGCCCCACCTTTGGGGGCAAAAGGGTAGGGCGTGCGCCGGATCCGCCACGCCGGCTGGGGAGGGCGGTGTGGTGCTGGTCGCCGTCCTACTCGTCTCTGCCCCCATTCCAATCTGCCCCTCTGTCCCTATCCTACTTGTCCCCCTCTTATCTGTCCCTGTCCGGCCCCAGCCTCATCCTGTCAGTCCCCGCCCCTTTCCCTGTTCTGTCCTGTTCCCATCCTGCTCTGTCCTCAGCTTCATCCTGTCTGCCTGCTTCTGTCTGTCCCATTTTATCTTCCGTTGTTCTCTTGTCTGGCTCCATCCTGCCTGTCCCCATTCCATCTTGCCCCATCCTGCCCATCCGTGTCCACTTCCTGCCCGTGCCCATCCCGATACTGCCCATCCTGCCTTGTACTCATCCTGTCTGCCCCCATCTCGCCTCTCCACACACAAAACACAGCACCAGATTGGAGTGGGAGCTGCCACGCTTTGGGCCATCCTGCATCTTTCTGGAGCAGGGTCAGCTCCGTTGGGATTTTCCCTGTATTGACTGGATTTCACGTGTTTTGGGAGAATTTTATTTGACAACAGCATGGAGATGTGAGGTCACTGTCACTTTCGGGATGCTACAACCTGTTCCCTATGGAGCAGAATGAAACACCTCTCAACACTCCTCTCCCCCACCACTCAAACAAGATTTCAGAGCTTTTACCCAGGAGGCAGGGAGAAACTCAGTCTAAGCAGGCAAGTGAAGAAAACAGGATAAAAAATGGTAAAAACTGGGAATCCTTTGCCACGTGCAGGAACACAGGAATTGGAATATTTTTAACTAAACCAAGATTTCTGGGTACTTTTCCCTCAGGGAATCAGCTGCTCTTGCTGGCACCTTCTGCTTTTCAGCTGCTACCAGGTGAAAAATGCTGATTTTTGGAGAAGCAGCGGCATTTCCTATGCTGTGCTGGCATCCCTCTCGGCCAAGCCAGAGCAGATCCTCCACTGCCGCAGGTCACCAACAATATCTGATGAGTGACTAAAAAGACAAAATTAAATAAAAGGCACACAACCTTGAGCCTCCAGTGCACTCGAAATATCCCAGTGAGCTCTCAGCACTGCTGCACTGGATCCGGCTGCCGATGCTCAGGAGTGACCGCACTGCTTAAAACGGGTCTATTTTAGGAAGCCTTGAAGTCCTGATCGCCAGAGGGATCCAGAGTGAAGAGGCAGAAAGTGATCTCCTCGCAGGCATTGCTGGCACCTCTCTCGAACAAGCACCCAAAAACGCCGCCAGGGCAGACGGCCAGGTCGGAGTAGCCGGCCGGCCCAGTGTGCAGTACCCAGGGCTGCTGCCAGCCCGCCCCGTCCAGCGGCGAGGGGTTGACATAGAGGCCCAAATTGCGCCGGCGCTGCCGGTCAGTGGGGTGGGAGTAGAGCAACCAGGTGGGTGCCCCAGCGGAGCGGGCAGGTGCAGCGAAGCTGACCACGCTGCCCTGGCAGCCCCCCGGCGGCTCGCCCAGTGCCACGCACGGCACCGGCTGCTGGAAGCTCAGCCCAAAGTTGGTGCTGAGCGCCACGGCCCGGCAGCCCCGTGGCGCCCGGGCGCTGCAGTACAGCACAGGCTGCCACGGGCCGCCAACCTCGGCTACCTGGCACTCGCCCGTCCGCTTGCCGCCCAGCAGGGCGCCCTTGTGCCAGCGGTGCCCGCCATCATCGCTGTAGAAGACAAGGGAATGCTGGCAGGTGAAGCAGGGCAGCCGCAGGGCCCCGCACAGACAGCCGTGCACGTAGTAGGTATAGGCCGGCACCACCAGCCGCCCTGAGTCCAGCTGTAGCCCGTGGCCTGGCCCCACGGCGAAGGTGGCCCAGCGGGACAGGTCGGCGCCGATGGCCTCGTCTGTCACGTCCTGCAGCGCGCTCCAGCCACGGCCGCTGTCGACGCTGGTGGCAAAGCAGAGGCGTGCGGCGCTGCATCCGCTCCGGATCTGGCTCCGCTCTGTCTTCCCCTGCTCCACACAGATGCAGAAGAGGAAGACAGTGCCACTCCTGGCATCGTAGAGAGGACAGGGGTTCATGGTGCGGTGGCGGGGCAGTGCCAACGCTGACAGCTCCTCCATGGGACCCCACTGCCGGCAAGAAGGGAAATGGGGCTTAGCCACGGGGTTGCTGCACCTTGGAGCCACCCAGCATCGCGCCCATCTCTTGTTCCTACAGCCCAGGGGGATTTTACCTTGACTGAGGTGCCGTGCCGGCGGCCCCGCCGCAGCACCAGGTACTTGGCATCCTCGTCCCGGGCCGAGGAGCGCTTCTCGGCAAAGGCCAGGAAGGAATCATCCAGGGGGACGTAGAGCAGAGCCGGAATGCGGTAGGTGACCCCACCTGCCTGTCGGAACAGCGTCTCTGGAGGGAAAACGTGTGGGGATCCTGGTGGTGGTGGCAGCGGTGGAGGACTCTCCCCGCCATCCCCCTGCCGCTGGAAGGGTGGGAAAGTCAGATGTAAAGGATTAAATCCCAGCAAAAGAGGGGGTGACCTGTACAGGGTGGATAGGGATGAAGGCTCACCTTGAGGCAGGTGGTGGCCTGGGACATGGTGGCCACCCTGAGGTTCCCCCTGGGAGCTGAGCAAGGGAGGGAGAGTGGGGTAAAAGCAGAGCCCCTCGGCGGTGTCATACCCGCCCTCCTGCCCGTCTGTGCTGCTCCCCTGTACTGCACAGGCTCCCCTGCTCCACCCACGGTGCCACCTCCCGCCTCTTCCCAAGGGCTGTGCACCTCCTGCACCGCACCAGGACCCCCAAGCTCCCAGTGCCTTAAGCTCCCCCGGTGGCACTAGCCCAGAGTCCCTGTGCCCGTGCACCCCTCCGTTCCCCGTGCACCCGCAGTCCCCCACGCACCCCTCCAACATGGATTCCACCCTGCGCCCCCCATGTCCCTCCGCTCGCCCAGAGCACAAACCCCCTACAGCCCAGCATTCACTGACTCCCGCAGTGACACCCACTCCGTGCATCTCCCTTCACATGTCCTGACACCCTGATCGCTCCCCATCCACCTGCAGTACCCAGATTCTCGCCGTGTACCCCCCGACACCCCCGCAGCCCGACTCCACTACACTCCGGTGACCCCCCAGCCCCAGTCCCGTCCCAGTCCCATCCCCCTGCACCCCCCTGCACCTCACAAGCACCGACCCTCCCATCTCCTCCGTGACGCGGCCCCCCCGCACTCCTCCATCCCCCGCACTCCCCCCTACATTGCCGCATCCCCCCATCCCTGCACACCCCACTCCTCTCGCCGCCGCCGCGCCGGGGCCGCCCCGCTCCGCCTCTTCCTGCAGCTCCCGGAGCCGGGGGAGGGCCGCATCAGGCGCTCGGCGGGCCAAGGAAGCGGGCGAGGATCCCGCTGTCGGGATACCGGAGCCTGGCGGGCCAGCAGGGACGGTACCTGTGCAGGTGTGAGCGGATGATGTGCCCCTCCTCCGGCGCTCCTGCGGAATGGTGGGATACCAGGAGGAGATTGACTGGTGGAGCCGCTGCCGAGAAGTCCCGACCCTCTCCCCAGCAGGCGGGAGGGGAGCCAAGAGGAATGCCAGGAGAATCCCCTGCCGGACGCCCCTGTGGGACATGTGTGGAGAGGGAGGGCCGGAAAAGCAGGAGGGTCCAACTGGGGGTTCCTTAAGGTGAGGCAGACAAGCCCAGCCAGCTCTACAAGATAAAAAGAGGAGTTATCCTCATCCTGTGGCACCTGGGGATGAGGTTTAGGTGACAAGAGTGTTGTGGTGCCATGGGAATGTCAGGATTCTTCCAGCCTTGAGAATTTTGTGAACTGGGATTCCCTCCCCAGGTGTCAAACACCCCAGAGATGCTCCAGGACATGTTTGATCTGTTCTTCCCTTTTATTGAAAAAAACAACCCAAAAAAATCTCTTTTAAAAAATGCCAGTTTGTAGAAGGGACACTTGGGAGATGCCAGAAGGGAACCACGGGACAGACAGACACAGCTTGGAAAATCTTTTACACTTTCTGAGAAGCTTCGTGGCTGAGGACACAGAAGTAGCATATTTGATTCTCCCCGCCAACACAGAAAAGGTTTTTATATAAAACAACCCTTCACCCCCACTTAGATAAATACAAAAATAAAGCAAACTTGGGTGCGAGAGGATGGCTGTTTCACAAAAGGGTTTTGTCCAGAACTCCTACAGACAACGGAAAGGTGGGAAAGGTGGGATTGGTAAAGCCCCCTGGACACAGAGCCATGGGATAAAGCACTGCCAGGTAAAGCAGAGGATGCTGGGGCAGCATTGGTGATGTGTTTCCCCTCCTGAGGGTCCTCAAAATCCAATTTTGGAGTCCACCTCAGAGCTTGGAAGGCAGGCACAGACACCAAGCTTAGCCACGAGCTTCAACAAATCTTGGGTCCAAGATGAAAATTCCTGCTTATCTAAAATGGAATAGGACTTCAGGACAAAAACAGAGGCCATGATTTGCTTTCTTTGCCATTTGACTTTATTGGTGTTAATTTAGCAGGCTGCCAGGAGGCGGTGGGCTCTGAAATCATTTTGTTTTCCTCTCCAGGGCCAGGCTGTCGTGCAGCTTGGACACCTCTGGCTCATAGGCCTCCATGACTAATGTGCCGTTGTTATCGAAGAACTTGGCGATGGATTTGGTGAACTCGGCTTCCCTCTGCTGTTTGGTTTTCCCGCTGATGAAGGTCAGCTTCAGGGTGTACTTGTCATCGAACCTGTGGGAGGCAGACACACTTCAGAGCGGGATCCCAAAAGTCCCTTCTGGCTGAGGGGAAAACCCTCCCGGGCTGGAGGTCCTGCCTGGGCACTCACAGTTAATACAACTAAAGGACTTTATACTCCGCTTTAAGAGAAGTGAAACAAGAACACTGGTGGCAGAAAACCACTTGGGGCTGCTCCCATTCCTGGACCAGGACATAATTTTTGATGGAGCAGGATGGGTTGGTGGGTTTCAAAAGAAAAGGCAGTATTTTTGGTGATCTCTAGGGAGCCCGGGCTGCCGGAGCAAGTGGTACCGTTTGAGGCTGGAGGAGAGCTGCCAGACGTCGTCGGGATCCATCCCGGATGGGTCCTTCCTGTGAGCCACCAGGAAAATGCTCTTCTCTTTGTATGAGGTATAAATGGTCAGGATTCCCATCATCACAAAATACGTGCAGAGGAAGTTAAGGAAATTGGGAAGGTGCAAGGAGAAGTGGAAATTAGGCAGAGAAGTCGCTCAGATCGCCTCAGACACTGTGGTTTAACATTTTGATTCCAAACAGGATGTTTGGCCGATGCTTCATCAGCATGAGAAATTAGGTAATAAATTTAAACTTCAATAATTCATTATTCACTCCCTGGAAGTGTCCAAGGCCAGGTTGGATGGGGCTTGGAGCAACCTGGTTTAGTGGAAGTGTCCCTGCCCATGGCAGGGGGTGGAACTGGATGAGCATTAAGGTCCCTTCCCACCCAAACCAGTCTGGGATTCTCTGACATTTGCTGGGAGATAGTGGGAAAACTTGAGACTGAACAAGGTACAGAATGAGTGGGCATTCCTCCTAAGCACAGACTGAGCAATTCCTCTTTCCCTTTTTAGAATTAAGTAATTTCAAGTGCTGCAAGACAAGTCACCCATTTGTTCTGAAAGCCACCCAGAACAGCCAGGAACAACGAAATTCCTTAGGATCACAGAATTGTTTATGTTGGAAAACATCTCTGAGACCATTGAGTCCAACCATTTCTGAGTCCACCATTCCTTCCGCCAAGGCCACCACTACTCCTTTGCATTGCTGAGCCTCATGGAGTGACCTCAGCCCGTGGATCCAGCCTGTCCAGATCCCTCTGCAGAGGCAAGAATTTCCTCCTTCCCTCTCAGTATTTGACCTGTGGTATTAGGGAAAAGCAAACGTGTCTGTAACCAGACTATGGATAGAATAATAAAAAAGGATCTGCTTCAGACCACCCAAATTTAGGGGCCAGACAGGCAGAAATTTTCCCATCACATGAAAACTGTCTGACTGTCAGTTGATCTCCACATGACAGGAAGTCTAATTCCCACAGGTCTGAAGATGGGAATATCCAGAAGGGAAAATCAAACCCCTTTGGTATAACCACGACAAGGTCTGCAAAGGATATGAGACAACACAGAAGGCAAGAACTGGTTTGGATTCAGGAAAAGGATGCAGGTAATCCCAAATCAGAGCAATGACAGCGAAGAGACAAGAGACTGTGCAGATGATAAGGCGGCCGTCGATCAAGCGGAAGTTTTCCACGTATTTGTACTTCTCCAGGAGCACCTGTGGGAGAAACAGGCAGCCGAGCCTATGGCGAGCTTTTCAGGAATTTGGGAAGGGGTTGAAGGGAACGATCCCAGTGACACAGGCAAACTGAGCAGAAGGTTTGTGGGGAATTAATGTCTGCCTCAGGTACCCTGATAGTTGATCTCTGTCAGGCACAAACACATGGGAATCACAAGAGTTGCTACAGTCCTGCCATGGCTATGGGCACAACCAACCCTCAAAAAGCAGGAAAGAAAATCAGAGAGCTTCCCAGGAGGAACAACTCAGCAGAGAGAGAACCTACCTTTTTGGCAGAGTCGTCCAAGGAATTTTTCACAGCTGAACCATCCCATTTGTCAATTTTTACTGGCTTGTCATCAATCTTCCACTGCAATGGAAAGTGTGGGGTGAGGGCAATTTCATCCCAACATGGGCACCAGGACAGGGGGCACACCAGACAGCGGCTGCCTGTTTGGGAAAACCTGGCTGGACAGAGGGAATCTGCAGCCAAAAGCTGCCTGAGCAGCACCGTGCCCGTTCCTGGGTGGGTTTCAGCATATACACCTTCTCTCAGGTTTCATTTGGCTCCACAACCTGGCAGCAGGTTTCATTTGGCTCCTACATTTGCTGCTTCCGCTGCTTTCCCCAGGAAGTGACAGCTGGGCTGGATTCCTGCCTTTGGATGTAGTCCTGCTTTCCGTGCCACACTGCTACACATAGACTCCTGGCGCATGGAGGAAACTTTAGAGAATCCCCAACTATCTTGGTACGAGGGAAGATTTAGAAGGCATAAACAGAGAATTTCAGTTAAAACGATTCTCTGGAACAGAAGCAGAGGACTGTGTCACTCTTCACATTTATTCAAATCTCCTGCAGGAATGGGTTCCCTCCCCAGTAACAATGGAATGTACAAAAGCTCAGCTTTTCCAAGGGGGCCACCTTCCCCTGAGCTACACTGGTTTTTTTTTTGGTGACACATCAATCTGAGCCCTGAGTATCCTAAGTCATCCCTTGTTTCAAACGGATCAGTGCCTGGAGCTGGAATCTTAGCTGTCAGTAAAGCAACCCTCAATTTCACTCGTGTTATTTCCCTGCTCCGGAAGCTCCCAAGCTGGATTGATTAACAACTAGTCCAAAAATCTCCTTTCTCTCCTCTGGAAGGAGCAAAACCACTTTAAAATATGATGCAGAACTCTATCTGCTCCTCCTGCAGCCGCACAGGGAAAAGCCCAGCTATCCCCCAGGCCCGGCATGTGGGAATTCTAAGGCACACATTGAATGTCACTGCGTGTCCACGAGCTTCATGAGGCACAAAAGCAACGGCCAGAAGGATCTAAAAATCATGGAAAACTGGGACAGAGCTTGCACACCAGCGTACGGTACCAAATATTTTAGCTGTCTGCTTCTGAAGCATTTTCTTCCAGTGTTAATTAGCACACATTCTAATTGGAAGCCACAGCCTTTGCCGTAAGAGAACAGGGTCGAATTCTTTTCACTATTTATTTTTGCTTATACAAGCATCTACAGCAGTGGGAGGGGGATCACCAGGGCTGGAGGGAGGATGCTGAAGGGGGGATGCTCAGGGATGGGATGCTCAGGGCTGAGGGAAGGATACCCCAGAGTAGCAGGTGGAAGCCCGGGCCGGCGGGGCGCTGCCCGGAGGCCTGGCCGGGGCAGGGGACGCTCGGGGCGGCTCAGGAACCCCTCGCACGGTACCTTGTCCAGGAGCCCGTTCCGGCCGCTCTTGGCCGCCATCTTCTCGCCGCCTCCACCCCCGCCCCGTCCGCGACACCTGGGCGCCCCTGATTGGTCGTGCGGGAGGAAGTGCGGACCCTCGCGCCGCGCGGCACGCTGGGAAGTGCAGTCCCTATCACGTGCAGAAGGTATTCGCATCATGGAATCACAGGATTTGGGTTGGGAGTGACCTTAAAACCCATCCAGTCCCACCCCCTGCCATGGCCGGGGGAACCTTCCAATAGATCAGATTGATCCAAGCCCCGTCTGACCCCAAAAGGGCTGTCCAGCCCTGGCACAGCTGCCCAGGGCAGAGGCAGAGTCCCCACACTTAGAGGAATTTAAAGCCGGGTGGATGTGGCACTTAGGGACATGGGTTAGTGGTGGCCTTGCAGCACTGTGGGACTCAATGACCTTGGAGGCCTTTTCCAGCCCTAACTATTCCATGGTTCTATGATACAGCAGCCCTGTTGCATGGCTGAGCCATATGAGGATGCTACTTATTCCTTCTTAATTAGACCCTTCATGTACAGCTTGGCCCCAGCTGCCATGACAAGGAACCCTGTTTTCCATTGCAGGAGATGTGATGCTAAGCTAGGTGGCCACTGGGACTGATCCAATTTAGCTTTGGATCTGATCCAAATCAGATCTTTGGATCTGGAGCTTTGGACTGATCCAAATCCCGCTTTTATGCAGGATATCAGTTTTATGTCAAAAGAATCAACCACAGCCCCACTCTGGCGGTCTGGCAGATGCATTTCCCTACAGCAAGAGCAAATGAGGGGTTTCCACCTGTCTTTGCTCGAGCATGTTATTAATGAGCCTCTTTGTACCTTTGTTCCTTTTGGCGGGAATGGGGTCTGGCTTGTTGCCCTGGCTGTGCCAAGACATTCCCGGAGGAAACTGCACGGGGTCCTCAGTGTTTGTGAGAGCAAAGGGGAACAGCCTCTGGCAGTGTTCCCAGTCACACGGAAGTGCCAGTGCAGCTGGACATGGAGAAAGGGCAGCTTGAGTATGTCCTGCTGCAGATGCCAGGGATGCGCACAGGGTGGGTGAGCAGCTCCTGCCGCTTCCTGCCCACATGGAAAGCACAGGCGTGCTCCAGTGTGAAAGAGCTCTGCTCTGCCAGGGTGCCACACAGCAGGGTGCTGGGCTCCCTGGGATCTACAGCTGGATTTACCCCAGCCCAAACCCAGCTGCTGGGAGATCAGCTTCGGATTAAAAAGGGTTTGTCCCCAGAGGAAGCGGAACTCGGGTCTCTGAGCTTTTCCAACCAAATGATTTTGTGATTCTAAAATTACTGCACAACCTCCTTTGGACAGAGGCAAGTGTCACCAGTCTGGGACAAGCAGCAGTAGGATCCTGCTTGTTTCCAAGCACAGCAAGAAGCAGGGAGTTTCACTGTCAGAATCTGGTTTTATTCTGTTTGAACCTTGGCTTTTGCCCTGCAGTTCAAGTCCTGGTTGCTGTTAAATCAAACACGTTATTTGTACACGTTTGTTGGCATATTTCTGGTTTGTGACAATTGTTTCACAAGCAGGATTTACTCTGTTTCGAACAACAGAAGCCACAACATGACAGATGCCTGCATGTCATTCCACTCACACATTTCACACATGCAAGTCAGTGGTCCTTTGGTGCCTTCCATCGCTTTGTGACACATTCAGGTGAAGCCACGGGGGTTCAGCAGAGGCCAGAATGACTGTCAGGGTCTGCAGCTGGCCGGTGCTCTGCTGGCAAGCGGAGAACATGAAAGCACGACGACTTAAAGCGTTACTGGAGGGAAAAGGCGGCAACATCCAGGCTGGTGCTGAAGAGTTTGACAGCAAATACCCCATCCACCCATGACTGGCTGGAGGTTTTCCCATTTGCATAGTGCGCAGCTAACCCTGGAGCGGGCACGTGGCGGTGTTCCGCAGACACCGGGAGGGCACAGGGCAACGCCAGGCACATGTGGCACGCGGGGATCACACAGCTCCACGCTTCCCTCTGCAGAACAGCCCGTGGGTCTCCGCCACAGACAGCGTAGGGGTTCCGTCCCACGTCCCCCACTGGGCGAGAGGGTTCAGGTTCTCTCAAAATGCTTCCCCCCAGCCGTGGCACAAGCTCTTTGCCAACCTTCTGCCGGACAACTGGGAGACAGGACGGGGCTGTCCTGTCTCAGGGCCCGCAGCATTGCTAAAGGCTCATTTTCTAAAATCAGTGAGAGTCTTTAAGGCTTCAATCTCCCCCTTTGCTTTCACCGAGAAAATATAAAGAAGCGCTTGTTCAAGCTACACTTGGTGAGTACTGTGCACTGCATGTACATAGCATTGGAAGAGAAATACTGACAGTATAGAACAACATCATACAATCACCTGGCACAATCCCTTTTGGCACTTTTCCTTCATTTATTTCATCTGGCTGACTCTGAACACAGACCTTTCTGTACGGCTTTTCCCGGGCAGAGAGCTCCAGAGGGTCAGAAAGCAACTTTCTGGGAGTCGGTGGCATCTTTGCCAGACACAGTCCTTCTGTCATGAAACCAACCCTAGCTCCTCCAGATGAGACATTCTGGGAGGACACTCCCATGCCTGTGCTGTCTCACAGCCAGCAAGGAACGCCTTCATCCCAGAGGGAAGGCAGCTGAGGGTTACAAAGGACTTCCAGAGAAGTGTGAATAAATACTTGGTTTAATCTTGTGCTGCATCCACTGTTCAGCAGGAGGTATTTTCCTTCTCAGCTGGCATGATTTCTGGCAAAGGTGGTGTAATTCCTGACCTTTACAGGGGAGAAGCTGGATACTCCTGCTCTTTTGAGTGTAATTATTTACAATTTTTGTTGCTTTTTTGCAATCTTACACAAACTGGGAGAGTGTTAAATTAATAAAACATTCATCCTGGCTTTGCATCACTGCAACCCTTCCACAACATGATTGTGATTCCATATCCAAAGGTCTCCTTGAATGCAGATGCCATGGCCTGTGCATGATGTCTGGGGAGTTGGGATCTCTGTTTTGGGGGCAGCTGGGAGCATGAGGAGTCCCATGAAGCTTTTTTTGCCCAGGGATAAGCTCCAGCACAGGCACTGCCTCCTACACTTCTGCCCAGCTTGGATTTGGGATCAGGAAATTAATGCACAAACCCCTAAATATTATGAAATCTTTTCAAAATAAAGTATTTAAGACACTGGTATAGTGCATTGGGCTGTGAAATCTGTGTTAAGAGGGGAAAGAAAAGATACATTCAGTGTGTAAATCTATTTTTTTGTGGTGTAAACAGCCCAGGCCCAGCTGAACTCCCACAAACACCACGAGAAAAAAAGGAAACTGTTTAGGGAAGTCTGTTTGGGGCTCCAGGGATAAACCGCAGGAAAGGGGGCCTGTAAAAATAATTCCAAATCTAAATGCACCTGGAAAGTGCATATTGTAACTCAAAATGTTGGGAAAAACAGCCCAGATTCTGAATTAAAGCTGTGGCTTTCCCTCCTGAGCTCTGAGGGCAGATCCAGGCCATCACTATTTCTCTCTGTACTCCTCTTCTGGGTCCAATCAAGGGTCTGATTCCATAAGTTCCTTCTAATTCACAGCTGGACAGAGGAGCAGGTTTTGGTTTGGGTCAAAAGCGCCTGCTTTAAGCAGCACCTGCCAAGTCTGCGGCACAAGAGAGGGCCTGGAGCGCCAAGAAGGCAGAGCAGGCCAGGTGTCAGCAGCCCCAGGTACAACTTGAACCATCCAGTAGTTTGTGTGGCAAGGAGATAGAGAGATATATATTATGGAATAATTGCTATAAGATTTCTCAAAACAAAAGTGCTGATCCGTTGAAATATAGTATTTAAAATATATAAATTTTACCCAATAAAATATAGGATTTCCTTTTTTTCCTTTTTTTTTTTTTTTTTTTTTTTAAATCCAGTTCAATTAGGGGAAAAGAATCCTGCCAGGGTCCTTACAGTGAAAAATAAAACCAGTTCCTGTTTTCTTTTTGATTGTTTAAGATGAAGGGAGAAAATTCAACCATTTTTAGATAGAGGAAATTGGACAATGCAGTTGTCTTAGATTAGATCTGTCTATTTATGTGCACTGGCTGCCCTCCCTGCACAGGATCCATAGGGAAGTTTGCCCCTGCACTGTGCTCATCCCAAGAACACCCCTGCCACCTGGCACACAGAGGGGCAGGACCAGTAATGCCACAACCCCAGACAAAGGTCCCCATGGGCCTTGAGAGTCCCTGTGAATACCCTGCAAGGCAGCTGCCAAAGACTGAGTGGGAAGGGTACTTTTTCATGGAAACAATCCATTAAATTAATCCATGGAAGAGGGTTAGAGACACTCAAGAGGGTGGCCTGCCACATCTGGGCACAGAACACAGCTCCACCAAGCCCAGGCTCTGAGCCATCTCTGCTCCAGGCAGCTTCATGCCTGGAAGTTTTTAGTGCATCACTCACCTGAGCTTTCTTAGTGGTTTGAGCCTGAAGCCAGGAAGCTGGAGCAGGGCAGCCTTTGGGACAGCTGGTCTCCTGTCCCTTTGGCTGCCTGGAGAGCAGAGCAATGTGCTAGATCTCTCGGGATGTTCCTCTGGGACGTGCAAGGACAGGCCTTAGTTGTGCTGAGACAGTTCTCAACTGAGCAAAGGACATGGCAGCTGGGAAGATGTCCTTCCAAAAACTCCCTGGACACTGTTTCCCTTTCTTCAATACTATAGGGATGAACAGGAAACCTGGGAGAAAAGCTCCCTGGGTCCCAGTGTTCACAGTGTGTGGCCCTAGCTGCTCCACCTGAGCTCTCTCCCCTGTCACAAACATGAAATTACAAACCCCTATCAGGTTTTTCAGTAAAAGCCTTATTTTAGGTCTTTCTTTTCACTGCACTTGGCTTTCTGCTTCAAGAAAGTGATGAATGATCTGTCCTGCTGCTGCAGACAGTGAGATACATTCATTTGGAAATACTATCGGAGAGCTCTGTTTAGGACTCCCCAGGAGAAATACAGAGCACGGATAAGAGGCTGACCCCACAACCAGATGTAGCCTGAGGGAGAAAATGGAGCAGGCAGAGAGAAGAAGACTCTCAGACAATTTTTATGAGCAAAGCTCAGATTTCTCCTGGCAAGGGATGGCCCTCATACCCCACATTCACAACCCTCCTAGCTGGGGATCCCAGGTGTGCCCGACTGTCTGTGGAGGTCTTGCAGTGTATTCACAGGGACAAAAGACAATTCCTTCAGACCAACGGACCAGAGAAGAGGATTTTTTTTTCTCATTCTCTCTTTTTTTTTTAAATATGAAAGGACGCTGGCTTCTCTCTGAACTGGACCTAGAAATGCCTTACCACCAAAACAAAATACAATTATGTGGGTGAAGTAGGGCAAAAAATAGTTTTTGTATAAGATAATCTGATAAATCTCATCATCCTGTAGAAAGGCAACATCGTCCAGTAGTGCTACTTGGCACCCAGAGTGCTCTTGGACCGCAGGAGATACCGATCCAGACGGATTTTCCGCCTATCCACAGTCCTGTTCTCACTGTCGAAAATCCGCTGCAGGTGCAGGGCCAACCTCTTGTCCTCCTCCTCTTGCTGGAGCTTCTGCTCCACATCCCGAACCTCCGGAGGCAGGCCCACCTCCCCTGCCACGTGCCTCAGTCTTTTGACAGAGCCATTGTGCTCCAAGTGCTTTGTTTTGCAGCGTCTCTTCCGGCCCCGCCGCAGTAGCGGCGGCTGTTCCCCGATGATGTTCTCCACAGAGTTGCAGGTGCTGTTCTCTACATTGATCAGCTCACTGTTGTTCAGGTATTTCAGATGCTTTTTCCCCGGTGGCTTGATGGGGACTGCAAGTGTGCTGTTGTCAGGCAGCGATGCGCTGATGCCCATGAGTCTCCTGCTCAGCGCTTTCGGGCCCAGACAAAGACAGGATTTGTCCACAAATGCATTCACTTTTATGTCAGGGACTTCAGCCACTCGTGTGTTTAGGGAGGTTACACTTGATCTCACATCTAGTTCAGCAGCACCGTCATCAGTGGTTAAGGCCTGTGAACCCCTGTTCTTCTCACTCCCCCTTCCCAGCTTCATTTCACTGACTGACGGGAAGAAATCCAGCTCAGGGCAAGGCTCTCCTGTTGTGTCAGGTGGAAGGTGATCCACCTGCGCTTGTGGCTGCTCTTTAGTGCAACTGCTGGAGTTGGTGATGTCAGGAACCACGTCTTCCTCATGCTCCGAAGCCAAGGATGTAAGGGTTGCTTTAGAGAGAGTCTTTTTGATCTGACGCTCCTGAAATATCTGCTCCCATTTTTTCAGTATTCTAGGACTGGCCTCGTAGGTGGTTGGCTTCTGCAGGCTCCGGTTCAGGTTTCTGGGGGTGGATTTGATGATGAGCGGGCTCAGTACTCTGCCGTCGGGAAGCCTCTTTGGCGGGGTGCATGGGGAGCAGACGATCGGCTTGAAATGGTTGAGCTCTTCTGAGATGCTGTCGTTGCTCTCGGGGCTGATGGAGCGCTCTGGCCTGTGCAGGGCTGACAGGGAGGACACGGCGCTGAGGAGCAGGCGCTTGTCGGCCGTCAGGTCCGGGGCAGACAGGCAGCGGTTGTTCTGTGCGCACGACAGCACCCCGAGCAGCGGTGTTGATGCGCCCTCTCCGGGCAGCACCTGCAAGGCAAGGCAGCACAGCTGGGAACGGCCCGCGGAGCAGCAGGCGAGGGCAGAGCGGGAGAACAGAGGCTGGCTGCGTGCCCGACGGCCTTTGCTGCCCACAGCACCTTCCATGGCCCAGGTGGGACACGACCCCGGAGTCCAGCACCATCTAGGCATCAAATTTATTTCAGTCTAAGAGCTCTTGCCACAAGTAACAACCACTCCAATGGCAAAATCACACAGTCACGGGATGGTTTGGGTGAGGAGTGACTTTAAAGGCCATGTCATTCCACCCTCTTCCATGGGAAGGGACACCATCCACTAAACCAGATTCCTCTAAGCCGTGTCCAACCTGGCCTTGAAATGTGTTTTCTTTTTACCTGGATAAATCTGCCCATTTAGTGGTTAGATTGATGGCTGCACTAGATGACCTTAAAGGTCTCTTCCAACCTGGATGATTCTGTGATTCTGTGCAGACAAGAAGAAGCCAAGAGGCACTGCACTGCCCAGGCTGAAGGAAACCATGTTCCTCAGGCACTGCACTGCCCAGGCTGAAGGAAACCATGTTCCTCAAGGGAAATGATCTCCAAATTATTTTTTGTTCCCTTCTGAGCTGTGGGAGAGAAAGAATAAGGACTTGGCCCAGATATAAGAGGTGCCTGGATGTGGGTCCTTAGGGATGCAGGTTAGGGGTGATTGTGGTGCTGTGTTGACAATTGGACTTGATGTCCCTGGATGATTCTCTCATTAAAAGCAACATTTCTTGTAATCTCTAACACAGTCCCTGAATGCTGCTACACTTGGGCATAATCCTGGCAATAAATAAATCAGAGAGGAGACAACACATACATCTGCAAATGGTCTTCTTCTTAACACTGAGATGAAGTATTTTCATCCAGCAGCTAGTGTGTACAATAACAGCCTTTCCATGTTTAGTCCGAATGAAGGTTTTTTCTACTCACTTATTTTGAGGTCAAAATAAGCTTTTGGAATAGCCTGTACTAGAAATCTAATTGGTCATGTCCATAAGGCATCCCCTTAAAAAAGAAGACCAGTCCTTGGAGAGAAGGAAGTTATGGATGTTCACTCTGGGCTCAGTCCAGCTCCCATCAGCTCAACTGCACAGGTGTCTGTTCCCCATGGGATATCTGGATCTGAACCCTCTCCTTCTCCATCAGGAATGAAACCGATCCCAAGAAGGAGAGGTGTCAGCACAAGGAGGAGTAACATCCTAGCAAGAGCAGCTGGGTGGCTGCTGGGTGACTTTAGAAGTGTTCAAGGCCAGGTTGGATGGGGCCTGGAGCAACCTGGGATAGTGGAGGGTCTCCCTGCCCAGGGCAGGGGTTTGGATGAGCTTTAAATTCCCTTCCAATCCAAACCTACGATCCTATGAAGACCAGGCCTTTGGATTTGCTATAGTATGGAAGTGCCAATGTACCCTGATGTCAGGAAAGCAATGAGTTTTGCTCTGTTTAAACAGCTTTGGAGAGAAAGGGAAAGGAAGAGAAGATTATTTTCCTAAACGTCTAAAAAGTTTTTCTTTACCTGGCTGGGGATTCAGCTTTGAAAAGAAAATGAATCACAGAACAAAAGCCTGATGAGAACCCTTTAACTTCCAATTACCCTCCAATGCTACACAAGAACCCTGACACTGCCTGCTTTTCTGTTTAGTAATTCCTACCCCAGCAAGTTTTATTTGGAGCCGCAGGGAGGTGATTGGCCCCGTGGCGATAACACAGCACCACAAAGCCCATATTTTGTATCTCCAGATTACTGGTGCTGTGTAACCTCAGATAAGAACATTTACACACGGGAACCTGTTTCCGCATGCTGCTTGTACCTTTGTTTTGCTGGCTGGGGCTGATCTCTGCCTGCTTTTGGATCTCTCCTGAATGGTGTCATTGCAGCTCTGACTCCTCTTCACCTTGGAGGTTAAATTCCTGAAAAGCAGGCAGGTGAGAACAGGAGACTGTGACCTTAGGAACAACCAGCTCAACAGCCCTGGCAGTTGCTACCTGTGAGAGAGGTATCAGCCTCGGCAGCACCTGATTGGCAGAGATACTTCCTGTACCCTCGGGGAAGAGGGATCCAGGACTCCTGGATTAGTGTTCAGGAGCTCCACACTGAAACATGGACAACTCTGCCCATGGCCCATAATGAACTGGGGTCAGTGCTGAGCTTCCCTCTGCTTCCCACGTGGAAACACACCTGGTTATTCAGCTGCTTCCACTGCGTCAGGCAGCAGCCTTCTGGGGAGTTTGGGGTTGATGCTGTCCCTTCATATCTGTGCTGCAGAAGGGAATCAGCACTCCTGAGTTCATCCTACAGAATTCTGATTTCTGACTAATGGTTTAAACATACAGGCAATGATTTTTCTCCTTCATGGGATGAACATTAACTTCCTTAACTTCCAGATAGGAAGTAATCAGACAGACACCACGTTCTACCAATGAGTCTGCTCTACAATTCCAGAAAAAAAAAAATCACTTATTTTAGATTGGAACCACCATTTGAATTAGAGCATGTCAGGTGTGTTTAAAACAAGTGGGAAGAACATCTTTAATGAACATTAAATAAAGTCTCAGCATCTTACCCTGAAAGGAAAGCAAAGGAGTAAGCACTGGTCTTGGAAACAAAAGCTGACCGATGTGTTTGCTTGCCCTGGAATGGTTCTTCATTCTCGGAATCCGAGAGACGTTCAGGAAACTGAAGTCAATCAAGGAACAGTTAGCTGACATGTACAACAAAAAGAATAACTTGGAAAATAAAGCTCTTTCTTGCAAAAATGTTGAAGATCCCCAAATCCCCCATTTCTGATTATCCTGATGGGACATAAGGCATAAATATTACAAAAACAAGCACATGGCTCCTATATATAGCTGTTAGTCATCAAGTAAAGGTAATTTATTGATCAAGAAAATGTGGGAAAATTCTAAAATACAGGTTACTACAGGGTATTGGTTACTCAGCCCCCATGGGTCAGTTTATTAAATGGAAATTTTAAGAGCATTTCCTGCAGAGCCTCCCAAATGAAATGGGAAATAGGCAGAAGTCAGCATGAGGAATGTGTTAAACTTCAGTTGTACAACTTCACTGCAGAAGATTAATGGAAAGATATTCATGGAAATGCATATAAGCCTGAAGACCAAGGATATCCCCATAGCTATGGGGATTTGCTGTGTTGGGAAGAGTCACACAGCAGAGGGTAAAAAGGGGGACAGAAACCTCTGAAAGAACACCTGCAGTCATAACAGACCTTTGAAGACAGTTCTCATTAACAAGGATCTTCATAATCTGCCAGCTCATAGCCTTCATAAACTATGAAAACTCAGTCAAGGAATCCTGGAAAGCCAAAGAATGAAAATTTTGGTATGTGGGCAGGAAGGAGAAGCATGAGCTCACTTACACAGTCTTGATTCCCTTTCAGCACTACAGATTCATCTTTTTTCAGCTGTTCCTCCATTTTTCTTTTCCCTACATCCATGTCATCTAGGATGAACTTGTGAACAAGATCCTCAGATGTCTTTTCTTCTTGTAGTTTCTCTTCTCTCAGCTGGAACCAAAGAGAGGTAGAGAAGTTATAATTTGAAGTCCTACACTTACAGACTGGAAAGACCAAGTTTGGTCACATCATTTAATTTTGTGCCTTCATGTCTCTACTCCACGGTAGAGCCACTGCCTCTCTCTCACAATAATGTGAAGACTGGTTTGCTTCTATACCACGTTTGTGTTTTATACAAAAGTATCATGGATTTTATCTTCTTTGCAAAACAACAAAGGCACCAGGAGGCCCAGGGCTGGACAAAACCATCTCTGCCATTGTACTTTCTAAAATAGAGAGACAAAAGCTTTTCTCTACTTGTAGGTGATCATACTACAAAAATGTGCAACATTAGTTCCAAGCCAGCTGTTATATTTCAGTTTTAGCCTTCCAATGGCCTGACACACAGCACACACAATTTGGCAGACACACAACCAGCAGCATCTAAAATAAAAGGTGAGATGCAGCAATTCCCACATTGAAAGCTATGTGAGAGATGAAATCTCATTGTTTCACCAATGTGTTGGGATGGAGGAGATCCAGAGAGGCCACCTTTCTCCTGACAGCTGACTCCAGGCTCAAAGCCTGAATTCAGTTTCAAACAGGGAATGCCAGGATCTGGGGCACATGGACTCTGATGGGCTGCCTGTCCTGCTGCACTATTTTGCTCCTCACCTAAGGAATCAAACTCCCCTTTTTTGCCACGTTGGCTTTTTTTTGCAGACTTGTTGTCGAAACCAACAAGACCCCTTTTCTCCTCCTTTCCACTACCTTTTCCTGAGGAACAGGTTTGGTACCATCTGATTGTCCCTGCCCAGGGTAACCAGCTCCCTTCTCCCTCCATCACCCAGCCATTTTCCCAGCTTGTGTCTTGCCTCTTCCTCAACTTACACACAGCCCAGGAAAAGTCTACATGTATCTGCATATAGAACAGATCCTCCCTCCTTCCTCCATCCACCCTCCATGCAGAAGCTATCCAGACCTCTGACTGACACCTCTTTGTCCCGCTCATGAGCCACAGCACCAGGAATTCATATCCCTGGGCTTCTCCTCATACTTGGGCATAGGCATCTCAGGTGCTTAAGAAGCTCCCTAACTCAAAAAGGCAGTGGGGGATGATGCAACAACTCCTCATTCTTCTAAAAATATTTGGTGTTTTTTTTCCCTGCTGGAGGAAGGGAAAACCTCAGACGTATGGACATAAGGGTGACAAAGAAAACAGGAGTTCATGAGGCATGACAGGGAAAGCACATTGTGATTTTCAAATTGGGAAAGACCTAGATCCTACTGAATCCAAGCCCCCAGAAATGAGGAAGAGAGAAACAAGGAGGAAAATGAAAAAAGGCAGAAACCAGGAAAAACTCCACTGTTTGGCTGACTGTGAATGTTCAGCAAATATTTTCAAAGACCAGTTTGACTCCTTCATTAGAGTTGTTTTAAGATGTATCTTTAAATTCCTCCTCTATTAATAATCTCAAGCAATAACTACAACAGTGTCTGACTAACAGAGATTGTGACCACATGATGCAGACATGATGAATAGTCTGCTCTAAGTAAACAGTATTTCTGCCTTTTTTGAAGCATCTGAAAAACAAAATCACATCAAGATTTATCATAATTTTTTGTTTTTTTCCTGGCTGGCTGAAATACCACCCACCCAGCACTCATGCCATTCCTGTATTTCTCATGTGGCACAAAGTTATACGTAAAATTTCACTTTTCTGGCTAAATTATAAAACCAAAAGACTCAAGAATATGTAACAACACACACAAATATTTAAGGATTTTGGGGAAATTCATGGCACAATTAGTGTGAGGTGACAACCCAAGCTTTGCTGACAGTGAAGTCAAAAAGGCAACAACTGGATTCTAATCCTAATTAACAGAATACAAAAAAGAACATAGGTCCAGAATTAATGCAAACAAAATCAAACTCTAATGATAAAATCTGTACTAATTTCAAAAATAATATTTTGAAGTACCCCTAATGTCAATTGTCTCCCAGAGAATTTCCTTCCAGACATGGCAATGCTGTGCTGAGACAGGAGGACAAGAAACTGAAACAATGCAGTGTGAAACATGTAGCTTGGAAGAAGGACCTCATGTTATCTAAGCAGCATCTCTGAAATACTGGATGCAGGACCAACAGCTGCTGTGAGCAGCATGGTTATCAGAAAATGCATTTTAGTCCTTTTGGAGACCGCAGCTGCAGGGGGAAAAACTGCTGTACAAGTAATTGACAATCGTTCACTCAGGACCATAACTCCTGACACTAATATTTAATCCCAAAAGTTTGGCAAACTCACATTTGGTATATTCTCCTCCCTTCATGAGCTGTCCAAGTCTGCTGCCTCCTGGAGCCTGCTCCGTCTGGCCTGGCTCTGGGAAGCTGCATGTCAGCACATGCCTCAGGTAGGAGTTTCCCTCCCACTGTGTGTGCTTACAGCAACACACTTGCTAGTGACAGAAAGAGAGCTGGACAGGATGAGTTAGGGTTTTAGTACACAGAAAGGACAGCCTCCTCTGGAAAAACATAAAATGCAAGAGTACCAAAGGGCACAAAAGAGGAAAACCCAATCCTGCTATCCTGCACAGACAAAATTAAGCTATGAGATAATCCATATCAAATAAAATCTCTTCAGTACATAATTATGGCACCACTTTGTTTTCAACTGCACAAAGTGGGGAAGTGGGTCAAGAGTTCAGATATATAAAACAACTCACATCTGGGAGATGTAAAAAGGGTTGGAAATGCTCCTGTCCCTTCCTCAGGAGGAAAGCCCAGGTTATCCCCATTCCATGGGCAGGGAAGCTGGGATGAAACCCTGTGTCTTGAGACAGGGAAGAAAACCAAATCATATACAAGCTTAGATTCCCAAACCTGAGTTCTCCTTGATTCAGAAGTTCAGAGATACCACAAATCTCTTAATAAGTAGCAACAGTGACAATTTCAGATCAGTTTCTCTACAACTTCATGACAGGAGAGTAGAGCCACATGAGAGTCAGTCTCTCATCCCAGGAAAGAAGTGACAGGACAAGGCATCAAAAAAACAGGGGAAGTTTAGGTTGGGTATCAGAGTACGTTCCTTCCCTAAAAGGGTAGCCAGTCATTGGCACAGCCCCCAGGCAGTGATGGAGTCCGCATTCCTGGAGGGATTTAAAGCCATGTGGATGTGGCATGAGGGGACATGGGATAGTGGTGGCCTTGGCAGTGCTGGGGGAATGGCTGGACTCCATCTCAGAGGGCTTTTCCCATCTAAAGGACTCTGTGATTCTATTCTGATTCTGTGAATAAGGAAACAGTGTGACTGCGCCATCAGTTGTCCTTTTACCAGCAACATCTCACTGCCACTTCCTCTTATGATGATTCACAGAATCTTCTCCCACATGGCTCTTTCAGCTGAGCTTCACAAAAAGCAAGTTTAGGCTGGCAGGGGGAACAAACCCATCTCCCAACTGGCAGGGGGCAAGAAGAGAAAGGCAGCAGGCTGAACAAGAACCAGATAAAAACATGCTCAAATGCTAGAAACATCGTAAAGTATTTCCTTCTGACTGGAAGGGAAGGGAGAAGGGCTGGCACTGGACTGCACATGGTATCTTTTTGCTGTAGATGTAAAAACCTCTTCAGCTGCAGCCTGACCATGATGAAAATGTGCTTCCTTAAATTTCATAGAGAATTGTTGCTGAAAATGCCACGTCCCATGACTTTGCACACACAATTATTCCTGCTGTCCTAGCAAAGCACCTCAACTGGAGAAGAGTTTGCAATTCCTATAATCAATTAATAAAATAGTCAGCTAAAGCTGTCTTAGTAACCTGCAGTGACAGTGCCCATCAGTGTTACTGATAATTCCATACCTGGAGAAGCAGAAATGATGACCCTTCCATGCTTTTTAACTGTCTCCTCACACATACAGGTTTCCCAGACTAGTTACTTACCTGACACATCACTTATTTTCCTACTCAGACAAGGCTGTTTTTCTAACTCAATGAGTGTCCCAGCTCTTTTTAAACTTGTTGAGATCTACAAGTGAAAACCCAAAGAAAATTCTTCAACAATGAAAAACCCCTCAGGTTCCTTCTGCCCAGCATATAAAATAACCAGTAAGGGGTTGTACCCATCTCAAGGGAATACAAGACAACAAAGATCAAAAATCTAAAAAAAAAAAAAATTAATGGACTTTAATTCCAAACCAGCTGAAAAGCCTTTATTCTCTCTTTTGTTGTTTTTTTTTTTCCCTCTAAATGACATTTTATTCTTGGCTAAAAAAAAAAAAAAATAGAAAGCTCTAGTTTGGAATAATTTGTTTTTGAAGAGAAGGATGTTTGAGGAGAAGGAGATGCCTTATGCTGCAAAAGCCTTTGTGGAATGGAATTATATCCACAACCAAACAGTCACTCCAAAGAAGGTGTATTTCCATGTTCTGGAAGGCAGACTAAGACAGCAAAATTTGGCTTCTACATGCTCAATTACAGCCATTTCCTTAACTGGCTGAACAGTAAAAAGAGAATAAATGACCTTTGTTAAAGAACAGGAAAAAAGAGCCCTTCAGGTTTCCCTACAGGTAGGATGGCATTCCTGCAGGAAATCCAAGTTTTTCTGGAAATAAAAAACACAGTAACTCAAAATACTGACCTTCCTTAGCTGGCTTTCATACTCTTCTCGGAGTTCTCCTGCTTTGCTTAATTTAATGGGTGCTCTGAATATAAAGTCTGGAAAGAAAAAGGGAAAAAAAAGAAATATTTTTTAGTACAGGATAACTGGTTTTGGCTATTATTTCCCAAAAAGAGTGAGATCTCCAGAGGCTGCACAAGAGCTTCTGCAGCACTTTTTTCAAGCCCAGATGTTTATATTCTGCCACTGCTATCACAGCTCTGTTTAACACACAGAAACATAAGGAGGAGGATGGCCAAGAAATCCCACTTTGCACTTCCTGAGTTTCCTTTGAGATTCTCAAGAGTCCTTGACAAGCAGTTAAGCAATTGGGGGAGCACGGGGAGGATGTAAACACAGTGGTGAAGGAACAGCCAGGAGATGTCACAGGGAATCTGAGTCCGGGGAATAAACCCAGGCTTCAAGTACAGGGAATTTGAGTCCTGGGAATAAAGCCAGGCTTCAGGCACAGGGAACCTAAGTCCCGGGAATAAAACCAGGATTTAGGTGCCTGCTGCAGGCAGACATCCCAGGCACACAGGCTGCCAGCAGCGCACCCCGAATTCCCAGCCCTGCCCTTCTGCTGCTGAAGCCAGAGGATCGGGAACACTCCCTGTTTGCTCGGGAATGCCTCCTTCACATCCCCCTGTCCCACGGGTCCCGAGCAAGCACAGCCTTTCTCCCGCTTGCAGGGCACTCCCCAGACCAGTGTTTTGAAGCTGAGCCGGCAGGATGCTCTGTCTAGCAGAAGTTCCCCGCTCCCACTTCCTCCCTCTCTCCTCGGGAAGCCAGAAACCAAAAGCATACTGGCACAGGGTTATAGCTCAGCTTCTATCCCTGGAGTCTCTTATTCCCAAAGGAGCCCCTTGCTTGTATCAGCCTCAAAGCTCCCTCCCACATCTGTGCAGTGGAAGTCTGGGCAAGTTGCACTTCAGCTGGAGGAGCCTGGAGGCAAAAGGGAACAACCAGAACAAAACAACCACCCCCGGACAACCATCCTGGCTTTATCTGTATTGGTATTCCAGGCAGGGTGCAGCACAGCTCATCATCCCAACGTGCTACAGTCAGGATGGAGCAGGTTCGAGCAAGGAGGAAACATCAGGGGCACCTCCTTTCCCCACCCTGCTAAAATTAAAGGATATAAACTAGCAGCTCCACCAGACGCTTTCAAAGAATCCCAAGATTATTTAGGCTGGGAAAGATGTCTGAGACTGTTGAGTCCAATCTGTGACCAATCCCACCTTGTCACCCAGCCCAGAGCACTGAGTGCCCCATCCAGTTGTTCCTTGGACACCCCCAGGGATGGGGACAGCACCACCTCCCTAGGCAGCCCCAGCCAATGCCTGACCACCATTCCAGCAAAGAAAGTCCTCCTGCTTCCCAAACTGAACGTCCCTTGGTACAGCTTGAGGCTGTTTCCTCTTGTCCTGTCCCTGTTCACTGGGAGCAGAGCCCAACCCCCCCTCCCCCTGCCAGCTGCTCCCTCCTGTCTGGGAACTGTAGAAAGCCAAAAGGTCTCCCCTGAGCCTCCTTTTCTCCGGGCTGAGCCCCCATCACAGAACTTCCCTTACATTCTGTCTCCAAATGAAAGGCAGATGGCAGGGTGGGTGAATCCAACACCCAGTGACAAGCTGCGGGCTGTTTTGCTGGGCATCCTCTGCCTCATGGCCACATTTCCCTCGTCCCTGGGGACAGGTCACAGCCCTGGTGCCCAAACATGCCACTTCCAGACTGATGAAATCCCGTTTGTCCTGCTTTCTCCTAGTTTCCCCTTCCAAAGTTCCATGAGAGCCCTGTAACTTCAGTCCCTCCTGCCGGCGAGGGTGAATGCAAACTCCACAGGCAATGCCGGAGCTGCGCAAATCACACAGCATTTCTTTAGTATTCAGAGGGAGAAAAAGCATCTCAGGTAAGCAAACATTAAGCATATAAATCATAATGTCTCTCTTCTCATAAAAAAACTGCTGTTTCCTTGTGCTCACATGCCTGCAAGAGCCAGGCTCGTTTTTAAAGGGAAACATCCCAAGTGTCCCTACACATGTGATAAAAATCCCAGGTGATGCTGATGCTGGGGAGGCCAGGCTGCATTCCTGCTCCTGCTTCTGCGCCTGCAACCAGCCACACTGGAAACCTTCCACAGGCTTCCCAAAATATTTTTTCAATTGTGTCCTTGAGTGGTTCCAGTTCTTTGTGAACTTTATCAAGCTGAAATTTCCACTGAGACAGTCCCAAGAGCAGCAGCAATCTGTAACTCGCCTGCAGCAAACTTCAATTACTCCTCAATGTTTAAGGCTTGTCTCCAACTAAAAAGGTGGAGTTTTCCCCTCCAGGGCACAAGCTAACCCGAAGGAAACACGCAGCAGGAAAGATGAGCCACTTCAACTCTCTCATTTGTCACCTGGCTTCAGCAAGCTGGAGGAAATTTTAAATAATGGAGTAACATTTATATCTAAGTTGTGGTGGTTGAGCTACAAGGGTCCAACAACAGGTGAAGGCAACTTTATCAACAGTATCTTTATGTACCAACTTGTATATTTTACAGATGGGTCAAAAAGAGATAAGCCCCAAATTTCCAACTCCGTATAGAAGAGGTGAAAACAAAAATGTATGCAAAGATGTACAACTGCATTTCACAGAACTCCAGAATGGAGTAAAAACCCGAAGGCTGAAAGGGACTACTATGGGTCACCTGGTGCCACCTCCCTGCTCAAGCAGGGCCATCCCAGAGCACAGGATTGTGTCCAGAGGGTTCTAGAATATCTCCAGTTAGGGAGACTCCACACCCTCTCTGGGCAGCCTGTTCAGTGCTTGGTCATTGCACAGGAAAGAAGCTCTTCCTCATGTCCAGCTGGAACTTCCTGGGCTCAGTCCCTGCCCGTGGCTCTGGTGCCATTGCTGGCCCTGGAGCAGAGCCTGGGCCCTGCTCTGCCCCTCCTGCACACAGGGACACCCAGGGACAGCCAGGGATACCCAGGGACACCCAGGAAACCCAGGGACAGACAGGGCTGAGGCCCCTCTCACTGGGGTTCCTTTCCAGTCTGAGCAGCCCCAGCTCCCTCAGCTTCTCCTGGGCACAGAGATGCTCCAGGCTCTTGCTCAGCTCCCGGAGCTCCAGGGGCAGCATACCCTCTGCTGACAGGGCAGAAAGGTGCTGCACCCAAGGATGCTTCTGTCAGCACAGAACCATTCCAAGTGGAACCAGACCAGTCCTTGAACTGGGAGCAAGCTGAGGTGATCGGTGCATCACATGTCTGGCACATCTCCCCGACCAATTCTGTATGTTCAGGTCCAGGACAAGGCTGCTCAGCTAGTTCAGTATGTGCCACCACCTAGGACAACAGCAAAGCAGGCAAAACCATGGAAGAAAAGGCTTTTTACTTGATTTTGCAGCAAATCTCCTGCTTGCCCTTCCTCTTGAGTGATCTGTGGGTCAGTAGAATTGGTTCCTGAATGAAGCTGACTCTGCTGAGAGGGCTGCTCCTTCCCAGCCTGGAGAGAGCACCAAAACAGTTGTGGTGGCAGATCGAACCTGGCATCCTGCTGTTTTATGCTGGCAGTCAAGAGTTGCATCATATTGTGCTCAGTCTTGGAAAAAACAACTGATTTCTGCACTATTTGAGAAGACAAAGGATTTTCTAATTATTTAACACTGGTTTTCTTTATAAGAGGCATCTGACTTGCAGCCTCAATCCCCTTGAATGAGTCCATCCTTTCCACACCAGCTCGGAAGTGTGTCTTACACCCCATCTCCATGGAGCCGCACTCCGGACCAGAACATTTTAAATTTACTGGCAAGAGATTCAGAAACCTCCATCTGGCAAATTCAGCAACATGGGCTGGCTAAAAGTAAAGCTGAACTTGATTCAGAACCTTTCGAGTCCCTGTCAGTTGTTCAGAGGCTCCTGGATTTTGCCAAACTGATGCCATCAGGCAAGTCCCAGCTCTGCCACCAGCAGCAGTGAATCCCCCTCACCCCCAGCTTCCACAGAAACTTTCAGTAGGCTCTGCAGCTTCCCTTTCCCTTGAGGTTTTCACTACTTTTCCTTTTAACTCCTGGCAGTTAACAGTGGCAGTTGAGGATGAAATCTTAAATGTTTCAAAATATAAAACAAGAAGTTAGGAATTTTCTGACCCTAGTACATGTGTAGCCATTACTCAACTGGAAAATTATTTTCCAAGAGTTAATGATCTGCTGCCATGCCTCTCACACTGACCGCTGAAGCTAGCTCTGGGATAATTTAAGTATTGTGGAACACTGGAGAGAGGACAATGAGGAAAAAAGTGGAGGTGCAAGCCCTCTGATAGCCTTACAGCAGTTACTGCCCCCAGAGAGGCACCCTATCCTATCTTCCTAGGAAATCTTTAATTTGACTCATCCCACCAGCATTACAACATCCTGACAAGGAGGAAAAAAGGTATGGTGTCAGTTTTAATCAGTTTGATGTGGGGTGCAAATCACTGCTTTTCCAGAGACAGGGAAAGGCTTCTTTGGGATTGCCACTTCCAAACCTGTAGCACTGTGCTCTTGAAACAAAAAAACAACTAGTGACAGTCTACAGAACAAAAGAAATTACAGGAACTTAAGGAAACACCAGGAAATGCTCAAGAACTAGACTGGTTTGGTCCAGCGGGGAAAGGGGAAAACCGTTGCCAAAAAAGGACTGAGAGGAAGGAGGGGGAAGTAATTTTACAAGTCTGGCAAAAACACGCCACCCCTCTTGCACAAGCATCAGTTAGTGATTGTTGTGCATTGCTACTGGGTAGGGGAGAAACAAAAGAAATCTGATTCTCTGAAATGTGAATGCACTTATTTTCTTACAAATCAGGCTGAGCACCTCGCTGCAAACATATTCTGCTCCTTCTCCTTGGCCAGCTGAATCCACAAACACACACCCGTAGTCTCCAAGCCTCCCATCTGCTGCTCCTCTCTGCCTTCCAAGAATTCCACAAAGCAACTGTTTTAATATAAGAAACCTCATTTAGCAAAGCATTGCAGCCAGCACTGCAGCTTTAGCTCCGAATCTGACCGTACAGCAGCATCTAGGGCGCCTTCCCAAGTGCTCTACGGAACTTGGGAAATGCCCACAGAGAGGATGTGGGACCCATGGGCCACTTGACTCCCTCGGGAGCCACAGCTGGGGCAAGGCTGAAGGCAGCAGGGCAGCTCCTAGGGAATCAGATGCCCAGGAGCTCTCAGGCAATCCCAGCCCATGCCAGGCAGTGAGCATGTCTCTGCTGATTTCTATCCAGTTCTGTGTGACAACTGCCATGACAAGGACTTTGTACCTATTTGGTCACTCAGTACAGAATCCCCAGCTTCAGCCAGGGTTTGAGGGCTCTTTGAGCCCACTACTATGGAAGAATCAATCCCAAAGGGAATAACAAAAACTGGGACATGAAACCATGATAAATGAGCCAGTTTAAGATGGAATAATGAAGGTATGTCAAGTGGTCATACTGAGTAGTTTTAAAGATTTTGCACATTTTAAGAGATTTAACTGAATATCTGAGCTTAATCAGTTTTTGATAACAGAATCACATAATAATGTCTTACATGGTGAAATGGCTGGCTCAGTGGATGAGCCCAGAGCAGCAGGTGTTGGAAGAGACTGATAAATCGCCTCATTCCACCCCTTGCCACGGGTCTTCCACTGTTCCAGGCTGCTCCAAGCCCCATCCAACCTGGCCTTGGACACTTTCAGAGATCCAGGGGCAGCCACAGCTGCTCTGGGCGCCCTGTGCCAGGGCCTCTGCACCTTTACAAGGAAGAACTTAATTCTCAATATCCCATCTAAACCTGGTGAGAAGCCGTTCCCCTTTGTCCCACACACATCTCACCCAACTCAGGACAAGCAGAGAATTAAAACTAATTCTGCTTTAAGAAGCCCAGCTAAGACACTGCACAAGCATTCCTGCAGTATGGCGGGACACTCTCATCCAAGGAGTCCATTTAAGCATGGCTGACACCACCGCCCTGGAGCAGAGGTTGATTCAGGGAGTTCTGTCCTCCAGAGGAACCGCTCCCACCACTTCAGCTCAGCTCCCCCTGGACAGCCCATCTCTTCAAGGATTCAGCAAATCCTTCCCTGTGAAGACTTCCTAAATCTCTTCCAGGTTAGTGGGGTTAGTTCAAACCAACAATTTAAGCTGTTTAAGCTCATCCTGCTAATTCTTCCCACAGCCAATTAGAGGGTGCTGACACAAGCATGAAGCGGGAGACCAGAAACACGCTCGGAAAGGAATGGGTTGGGCTAAAAGGATGTTTATCTGTAGCTTAAATCCTTGTTTGCCCTACAGCGTTCCCCTCAGTGCTGCTATGCTCCAACATCTCTCCAACCAACAGATCCCAGAGCATCCTGAGTTCTGACAACAGTAAGGTGGGCATCTCCAGCAGCTCCCACCCAGAAAGACCAATGCCACTGTTTCACACGAGGATTTATTTTGAAGGGAACACAGGGAGCAGTTTTCTAGGAGTTGAGAAGGCACCTGGCTTTGGAGGCAGGGAGGAAACGTGCAGCTAAAAGCCATGAACACAGGGATGAAGAACTTTTTTCACATCAATAAGTCACTAGGACTTTTCCATGGTGCAAAACCCTTCCTGTCTTGATGCAGTACAAACCTGCCCAACTCCTGGCAGCACCGTTGGAACCGTTCACTTTTGGGCCAATGTTACCAAAAAAACACCAGAGGAAGTGGGGAAACACCCTGCCAGCCGGCATCCCCTCCAGGGCAGGATGTTCTCCATGCCCTGCACGTCCCGATGCCCCAGAGCAAGGTGGCTGAGCCTCAGTGTCCCCTCCCCGCTCGGTCCCCAGCACTCGGGCTGAGCCCCCGCCAGCTCATCGCACCTCGGCGCCTGGCCCCGCCCCCAGGCAGAGGCCCCGCCCCATCTCCGCGGATTCACGGCACGTCCAGCGGAGGCCACGCCCCCCGGGCTGAGCTCATCGCACCTCCCGCCAGCCGGCCCCGCCCCCCGGGCTGAGCCCCCGCGAATTCCCCGCGACTCCGCGGCAGCCACGCCCCCGCCCCCGCGCCCCCCACCCCTCCCGCTCCAGCAATGGGGGGGGCGCAGGTGCCGCCGCCGCCGCACCTTGGTCCGGCAGCCGCCGCTCCCCGCCTGCTGCTCCGGCGGCCGTGGTGGCTGCGAGCTCGGCCTGCTGCCGCCGGGCCCGTGTAGAGAGGCGGCTGCGGCACAGCGGGCAGCAGAGGCCCGGGCCCTGCAGGCAGCGCTGGAAGCAGGCGAGGCAGAGAGAGTGGCGGCAGGGCGGTGTCACCGCCTCCACCAGCGCCTGCCGGCACACCGGGCACTCGGCCACCGACAGCACCACCGCGTCCTGCTCCTCCTCGGCCGCGGACCGGCCCCGCCGCCGCCGCCCCCGCACCGCGGCCCGGCCGCCGGCACCCGCTGCCGCCATCTTCCCACACTTTGAAGAGCCGCGGCGGCCACGCCCACCCGCATAATTCATGAGGGGACGCCCCCCGCGGGTCATGGTAAAAAGCGCCGCGCGCCGCTCCCGCCTTTGCGCCGCTCCCGCCCACTCATGAATATTCATCGCGCTAAAGAAGGTCCCGCTCTTTGTCGGGACGGGCTGGTCGCCAGGTTTGTTGAGGACAAATAATGAAATCACAGATGGTTTGGCTTGGAAGGACCCTACAGATCACCCAAGGCTACCTCTGCCATGGTCAGGGACACCTTCCCCTGTCCCAGGCTGCTCCAAGCCCTGTCTAACCCGGCCTTGGACACTTCAGGGATTCAGCGGCAGCCACAGCTGCTCTGGGTACCTGTGCCAGGGCTTTTCCATTCTCACAGGAACAATTATTTCCTAATATCCCATCCAGCCCTGCCCTCTGGCAGTGGGAAGTCATTCCCTGTGTCCTGTCCCTCCACACCTTGTCCCAAGTCCCTCTCCAGCTTTCCTGGAGCCCCTTTAGGCTCTTTAAGGGGCTCTGAGCTCTCCTCACATGAACACCCCCAGCTCTGCCAGCCCGTGACTGTAGCGAGTAGCTGGTCTCTCTCCGTCCTTATTCCGACCCAGGAGCCTTTTGTTTGGTCTTCCCTCCACTGTCTGGCTGAGGAAGGGAGTGACGGAGCAGCTTTGGTGGGTACTCGGTGTCCAGCCAGAGTTAAGGCACCATGGATGGTGACTCAGAGCAAACCAGAGGAGGCAAAGCCTCTGCATCAGTTGCTATGGAAATCTCTTGCACTTCTCTTCTGCTTTTCATCTCTTTACTGGGCCACCAAACCAATCTGTCTTTTCATCATATTTTTGCACCCTCTCTGATGAAGCCTCTCAGCTATGCTGGGTTGACAGAAGAGAAAATGTGGCTGCAGAGGCAGAGGTGAAGCCCTATACCTTTGAGCCTCCTTGAGCAGGTTCCTCACTCCTTGGCTGGAAAGAGGAAGGGGTGATTCTTGGCCAAGGAACACCCTCTGCATGTGTACCAGGAACTTGCTGGGGGATATTATTAACTTTGCATCTCACCCACATGTCTATAGTTGTGGCTGTTGAATGACTAGAAGGATACCAGCATGTGGATACCTGCTGTTGTGGGCTCCATGAAATGCCAGTTGACAAAAAAGTTGCTTCTTGTGAAAGAAAAATTCTGTACTGACTTTATTGAGATGAATTATGGCAGCGGTTTGGGACTGGAGCCCATCCAGCAATTTGTGTGTCTGTCCTGTAGATGTTGCTGCTGGCCAGAGCCAGATGGAGCATGCTGCTCCCGAGTTCTCCACAAAGCTGCTGCTCCCGGGATCAGCCTGGCCTGGGAGCTGGGTACTGGGGAGCCCCTGGGGAGAGACAGAGAACGTGGCAGTAGGAGACACATCCCCACCAAAGTTAGGTGTAGGACAAAGAGCTGTGCAGAGCTGTAGCCCTCTGCAGGGTCCCAGGCACACTGGATTTGGAAAAGGATCTCTGCCAGCTGTACTCCCAAATTACTTCTGTGCATCCAGCCTGCCCTGGATGGAACTTGGTTTCTGTGTCTCCAGCTTCTCTTCCAGCCCAAAGCCCCACAAGCGGCAATGATTTGACATGGCCAGAGTGCAGGGTTAAATGGAAGGCTGGGAGCAAATATTTTACATCAAGAATCATCCAAAAATGGCCCAGGTTACCCAGGGAAGCTGTGGTTGCCGCATCCCTGGAAGGGTCTAAGGCCAGGTTGGATGGGACCTGAAGCAGCCTGGGACAGTGCAAGGTGCCCGCGGCAGGGGGTGGCACTGCGGGAATTTGAGGTTCTCCCGCTCCGCAGCCCTCTGTGATTCTACAGCTTGGGATGTGTGGAGCTCAGGGCTGGCCTGCAGAGGGAATCCTAAGCCCATGCAAGGCTCCAGCCTCAAATCCTGGCGTCCCCAGCCAAAAACCTCAGCCTTGCCCAGCCTGTCATGGAGCATTTCTCTGCTTCTCAATTCTCCTGAGGAGCTGGCAGGGTTTTGCCACCACTATTTCTCCTCCCAGTCCTCCCAGCGATGATGCTGCCCCAACCAGGCTGATCTCTTCCATGGGTGCAGGTGGGACGTGTTATGGTGCATTCAGGAGGTACAGACAGGCCCATGACATTGTGCTCTCCCATTTTTCCTCTCTATCCTTCCCCTTTGCTTTAGTCAGCCTTTCTTCAGCCGGTCTCCATGCCTGGAGGAGAATCCCTTACCACTGTCCTCTCTGTATCTCTGGTTTGTACAGATTACAGACTAGTCATTTGGGTTTGTGCTTGGCAACATGCTCAGATTCTAAAAAAAAATGACCAGCTTTCCCATTCCAGGTTGGACTATGTGCTTCCATCTGTGAATTACCTTCTTAAGCCTCACCAGTCACTGGCTGCCTTAAACCCTCAAAAAGGTGTGGCTTTAGAGCTCTTCAAAGCCCACCCGCCCTCAAGCAAGCTGGAGTTTCACACATTGGAAAGGAGTTCATGGGAAACACTCTGATGAACATTCCCCAGACACAGTCACCTTCAGGAGACCTCTGAGGCGCTGGATCATCCAGCAGGATAGGAATAGGGAATTGTGGATGGATTGGGTTGGAAAGGACATTAAAGCTCATCTCATTCTAACCCCCTTCATGTGGGCTTCAGTGACACCTTCACTGTCCCAGGCTGCTCCAAGCCCTGTTCAGCCTGGCCTTGGACTCTTCCAGGGCTCCAAGGGCAGCCACAGCTGCTCTGGGCAACCTGTGCCAGTGTCTGCCCACTCTCACAGGGAGGAATTCCTTCCTGCCTAATCCTGCCCTCTAGTTTTTGAATCCCCAACTGAGGAGAGGAAACCCGTGAGGCTTCAGGCTTAGGATGAGAACTGTGTGAAGGTGTGGCACAAGGAAAATATGGACTTTGCTCCATTTAGCTCTTCTGTGGTGTTCTCTGCAGGGTGATGGGTGATGCATGCTGATAACAACATGATTAGTCGTTGCCTGACCAGCATCCTGGCCTGTCCCAGCACCCGGGAGGCAGCAGGACCAAGGCAGTGCCTATCCTGGTGCTGGGTACTGCTGGAGCACCTTGAATCCTGGGGGCAATCCCAGGTCACTCACTCTGAGGAGGACAGCAGCTCCTCTGTTTCCGAACAGGACTTACTCCTACAGCCCAGTTCCTTCAGACCGGCTTCCAACAATTCTGAGCCCTGCAGGTTTCCAGCTCCGTTGCTTACAGCTGACATCCCTCTCATGTGCATTTCTCCTCGCCCATGCTGGATCAAATGTCAGGGATGCAGGGCTACAAACTTCCAAGGAGAGGTGTAGTGTGCAGCCAGCTCCTCCAGCCTCCAGCCTGGCCAGCTCACACTCCAGCCACTGGGCTTGCAAGGTGGGGAATGCTATCAGAGCCATGCTGTTTACTCAGTAGTTTGCAGGAGATTCTGTTTTCATTCTCATTAAAAAAAAAAAAAAAAAAAGGAATTGTCTTGTCTTCTTGATTGCCCAGAAAACATAAAGTGAGTTTGACCTAAAGACTCAGGAACCAGAAGACAAACAGAACACACCCATATTTTGTTATTTGCAGGCCAATGCCATGTTTTTTTGGAGCCCGATTCATGATCACAGATGGATTGATGTTGGCAGTATTGAACTTTCAGACAGATTCCTTCACTGATGAAGATAAAGAGCCTTGGTTTGCCAAAGGGTGAATGTATTCTTTATGAGACCCAACAGAGATGTAACACAGCACCTTGCTCCTGACAAGGCTGGCTTTTATTTCCTGGGTCTGCACTTAGGACATGCCTGAACTTTCCCATAAGTTTTAGCCCTGATGTGGGGCCAGGATCTACAGTCCTGAATTCAGCTGTTGCTGTTGCAGCAGAGGCACAAAATAACTTCATTGACCTGGACTTCGTGTCCCCATTTTTCTAACTTTCATAACTTGACCACAGCACTGTGCTACAAATGGGCTTTTCAAGTCAGCCCTGTGCAAAGGAAGAACTGGGAGAGGAGGTACCAGCTTTTCATGGTGAGAGCTGGAAGGAGCCTGCTGTTTATCCAAACCCCTTTAAACATCTTTATCGAGGCATGAGGGGAAAATAGAGGGGCATTGCTAGAAAAACTTGCAAAGAGCTGGAAATGAGTGGAGCAGTGAAAAAAGGGAAGTGGCATTAGGTGGTGACAACTTTAATCTCTGGGTCCAACAGCAGCAGGACATGGAGCTGCTGGAGAGAGTCCAGAGGAGGTCCTGGAGCTGCTTCAGGGCTGGAGCCAGGCTGGGAGAGCTGGGGGTGCTCACCTGGAGAGGAGAAGGATCCAGGGAGAGCTCAGAGCTCCTTGCAGAGCCTAAAGCGGCCCCAGGAGAGCTGGAGAGGGACTGGGGACAAGGCATGGAGGGACAGGACACAGGGAATGGCTTCCCACTGCCAGGGAGCAGGGATGGACATAGGGAAGAAATTCTTCCTTGTGAGAAGAATTCCCATTTGTGGTTGGCCCTGGAATGTGACAGCACAGCTTGTGCTCTCTGTAGAGGTCGGTGCCAGATGATGTGCAGAGTGTCCCTGGATTCTGGGCTCCTGTATCCCCAGAGTTCCTGGGTCCTTCAGCAGAATCCCACTTGCCATTCCCAGGGGAGGGTACTGAGTGGTAAAATTGTCATTAGAGCTGGTAAACAACAGATTGTGACCATCCCTGCAGATGTTTCAGCCCTGTCCTCTGCTCTGCACACTGGGCTGTGCTCTTGGAGGGTCCCAGGTCATCCTGCATGGGAAGAGCCAAGGTGGGGTGAAGATTCACCTGCTTTTCATCACTAGGATTTGGTGTTTCCCCCTTTTTTCCCAGAATATATGTCCAGCCCATATGGGAACAGAAATGGGTCTTGATTTCTTTTGCTCGCAGATTAAAGAGAAAATAACAAAGCCAGTGATTCAAAGGGATACTAAAAGCTTTCTTATTACAAAGATTTCCCTTATATCCAGCTCCAGGAACAGGCACCTGCAAGGATGGTT